ATTCAAGAGAGGTTTAACTTGCTTGAAATTATGCACAATTGTTCCTTGAAATTTCTATATGCTAATCATTAGCAACTAATGTAGCACTTGACATTTTAACATTTATTGCAGAAGTAACTTCCGATACAAAAGTAAAACCACACAGTGAGTGCCTGGTTATCATCTGGTATGCCTGAATTCCACAGAGCCATGAAATCAATTTTCTTACCTTTACTGTAAGTCTCAGTGACATGGGTGATGGTCAAGTGTCAGGGTTCTTCCTCAGCTATAGCTCAAAATAGCATCATGGACTTACAGCGGTGTCCTCTTAAGGTGTCTGCATGCCCTACATGCCCCCTTCTCGAAGAATGCCACTCATTCGTGACAGAGTGGGCCCTGGCACCAAGTGTGTACCACCTCAGAGAGCATCCCCATCCCTTTCCTACTGTGACCAAGGCAACTGGACCAGGAAAAGACACGGACCCATGGCCGGGCCAATCACATTCTTCCTTCCTGGGAATTGCAAGCAAGGGGACTTCGTAGTTTCTTCTCCTGAAATCAGATACATGTGAACTCAGCTGCGGGACAGCCATTCCCTACGTGCATCAAGAGAGAAGGGTGGCAGGAACTTGCATGAAGGAGCAACACAAGAGACCACATGTTACCAGACAATAAGCTGACTGCCGCACTTCTTCAGGACTTGAGCTCATGAGGCCCAGCTGCACTCCCTGCACCTGGCTTCCAGAAGATAACCTGTGGGCTCCTAACTAAACTCCTGTTTTTTACTATAAAAGTCTGAGTGCATTTGTCTTGTGTAACCAAATGGAGAAATAAGGATTTCAAATGCAGTCCTCTTACCAAAACACCACGACCCCAAGCTAACTGTGTACTCCCTCATTCATAATAAAGGGACACGACAAGGATAGATAAAACTGATCTAAATGCAAAAAAGCCTCATATCCGTTCTCCCCCTTCCAACACACCATGTCTACAACCAGGAAATCTGTTCATCATGATGCTTCCTGATCATTATGATTATTATGATATTCATATGTGTAACAGTACTATGCAACCAGATGCCATTGTTTATGTTTTGCTATTAATTTATGTCCCTTCTTTGTCCAAACTCTCTTCCATACATCTTTTCCAGCTGTGATCCAAATGTTCTTGACGACTTCTTTATGGATATTCCTTAGAGACCTCAAATCGACATTTCTAAAACTCATCTTCCCTCTCTCTGTCTTCTCTTCCTACCTACACCCTCTCTCCACTCTTGTTTAATTTCAGCAAGTACACCTCCAAATGGCCCCATTAACTGGCCAAGTAAAATGTGGATCTCCTCTTTGACACTTCCCCTTCTCACTCTCCCCAACATCCCGTCATTACTAAGTTCTGGTTCATCCACCTCTCAAATCTGACCACCGTCTCCTTCCCTGCTCACTCCCCTGGCTCAGTCTACGCCTTCTGCCCACATCACCTGCAAGCTAGTGAGGCTTTCAGTGTTAAGTCTGAGCTCCACCCCACTCAATTTATTCCCTGTAAGGGGACCTGATGGCTCTTCGCAGAATCTGAATCTCATCACATCACTCACCCAGATACTGCATGGCTTAACCTCTTCAGTTGCTCCATACTCTCCCAGGACAAAGTGCAAGCATCTTTAAGTGGCCAAGGCTCCACATGAACACCTTGGCCTCATTTCTTTCTTCCATGCCTATACCTATGAACCATCCATCCTGAGCTTTTGAGCACTTTAAAAGAACTCTTTAAAAGAACCTACTGTGAAATACTCTTCGCCCCTGCTTCCTCATCTGCATCTGATCTACTCTTACTCATCTTTCGATTCTCAGCTTCAAACTATTCCTTCCAGAAGCTGTTTCCTCTACCCCAAGGCTAGACAATGTGGCTTCCTAAGTGCTTCCACAGCATCCATGCTTCCCCTACTGTAACCGCTCGTAGGCTACAGCACTGAGCTCCCCTCCCATCTGTACTCCCCACCACGAGAGCAGCTGTAACATGGCGTGTCTCTCGTCCACCCGAGCATTCCCATCACCAACCTCAGTACCTAGCATATATAGTGGGGCTCCATAATCAGCAGTTGAAAAAATAAGTAATTCTCCTTTTACACTCAATGCTGATGTTCTACCTTGGGATCTGAGTTACCCCCACCCCCATGACTTTTGGCAGATAAATCAAGAACAAGAGAGGGCCCAATCGAAGAGATTTATGCTATTTCCAGGAGCATAACCCTATCCCCTACAAAAGCACATACACAGAGGAAGCAATGGAAACAGTATAAAGCAATGATGAGGTCCTAAGTTTTCTAGAACTTTAAGATTACAGTGCTGAAATGGCTTTATGTTCACTCACAACTGAGGAAACTAAGGTGCAGGATTTATCAAATGAGACAGAATTATTCAGTGATAGAATGATTTCCCTCCACAGACTTTGCACCTTTGAGTCCAAAGGACCACCAGTAAGATTTGGTGGAGCAAAGTATGCTAAAAAGCAGTGAAAATAATAAATGCACCAAATGTATTTGTCAGGGTAAACTATCAGTTCAATGTAAAATGGCTCAGCACATCAAAGACATTTTTGTTCTTTTCCCCATAACCAACTACCTTAAAAAAACTATATTAGAGAGAAAAGGTGTGATTTAACACCCTCATGACTAGCTCAAACTTAGACTAAAGACAGCCAGGATTTTAGATTTTAATTTCATTTTTTTAAAAAGAACAAACAACCAAAATTTTTCCCATGTAGCTAAAACAAAATAATACCCAATTTGATCTCTCATGTTTCAATATACACCATGCATTAAAACCGTAAGGTATCAAATTTTCTTCAGTGGGCATATACTTCTTTTATAATGAGAAAAAAATTAGTTATTTTTTAAAAAAAATACCATGCTATAGATATTATGTTATAAAGGAAAATGATTTATAGGATACTATTATAAGTATAAGACAAGTTACAAAATGATAAGTGCAGTATTATTTTCACTGGTTTAAAAAATGCACTGGAAAATAAGTAGAGAAAATATTAAAATACTAATGCTGGCTGCATTAGATAAAGTGATGAAGTGACCTGCTGAAGTCTTAAAGGCCAATGAGGGAAAACTGGAACATATTTTACAGCTCATGCTTTTCTCTCCCCACTTACATAAAAGGGTGTGAACTTTCAGAGGGTTAGAACTATCCCTGCTACTGATAAATGCAGCTCACCAGGAAAATCAGGGAAGGGCAAAATCTACTGAATGTAGCTGAAAATGTCAATTAAAATAAGAGGAAAAAAAAAAGTAAGAGCCAATGCATAGTTTTTAAAGTTTATGCTTTTTTTCTTTTTTTAATGATGAAAAATGCTCTTTTAATTGGCTCTACAAGGTACCTTTCAATTTAATGAAAACTGTGCTCCTAAGGGACTGTGATGGGCCCCAGACAGGTGCTCATTCACAGGGACTTTAAAATTTTAGAGCGGGAAAGAGATAAGCACTTAAATTACGACAAAATGAGGCAGGTATGAGATGTGCCCATACGTTCTTAAACCAAGTGCTATGAGAGCATCCAGGAGGAAGACAAGTGAGTCATTAATTCCTCCTTCTATAGAAAAAGCTCCCTAAAGGGATGGCTTTTTTCTTCTGTTTTTTTGGTGTTTTTTCCCACATGCCATGGGTAAAGAAAACTGGTTGTCTAGGTGGCCTATCTGGGAAAACATAAAATCCAGACCCAGAAAACCCTGAGACTACCAGACACCTATCTCTTAGAGGCTGCATGACCTCAAGCAAATCACTTCCTCATGCTGCTACCCAGGGAGCATCTGCAGCCGTGACCACTACACTCGAAATTTCCAGGGAAGCTTGCGGTGAAGGGTGACAGGGAGCGTTCCTTTTTCTTTTTTTTTTTAATTTTTTTTTTATTATGTTAGTCACCATACAGGACATCATTAGTTTTTGATGTAGTGTTCCATGATTCATTGTTTGCGTATAATACCCAGTGCTCCATGCAATACGTGCCCTCCTTAATACCCATCACCGGGCTCCAGAAAAATAATTTGCCATCTGTCACTCAGAATAAGAACACAGGACCTTCCGTTTTGAAAATCTGTGAGTATACTCTATGAGACACAGATATCACAAGGAAAAATAACTACACAGTATAGAGCACAACTTAGGATTTAACTGTTGACCGAACTCCATTAATTCAATGTAAGAATGACTTTGCTACCCACATTCCAGCAAGTTTTTGCCAAAGTGAATGTCTGACTGTAAAAATGAAATGCTGTTCTTTGTGCTCATTATAATTTAGCACTTATCTGCTATTTTAAATACAATTTCAGTCTTTATTATTATAATCAAAAACATCAAATAGGGATTAAGGAAAATACAGAACTTTTAAAATATAAAAATAAGGAGCTAGATTTCACTGGTAAACTAACTATATGGGAAAGAAAGAAACCAGAAGGTGAAAGGTGAGGAAGAAATTCGTTATGAAAATCATGAACATTCACTGCAGTATAATTATTTTAGAGCCAAGACAGTTCACAGTAAAAATGATATTGGAAAGCTCAATTTTGCTGTGTTTGAAAAATTAAGGATTAAATTAGAAAATTTAATAAAAATCAGGTAAATGAACAAATGTGTTATTTCAAGGGAGAAAAAAATAGGCTCAACTAGAGTTAAAATATAAGATACAAAGTGAGGGGCGCCTGGGTGGCTCAGTCATTCAGTGTCTGCCTTCGGCTCAGGTCATGATCCCAGGGTCCTGGGATCGAGCCCCGCATCGGGCTCCCTGCTCCGCAGGAAGCCTGCTTCTCCCTCTCCCGCTCCCCCAGCTTGTGTTCCCTCTCTCGCTGTCTCTCTCTCTGGCAAATGAATAAATAAAATCTCCAAAGTAATCTGAAGAGTTCCTGCTGGTTTCCCTGCTCCTGTCTCGCTTCCCAATACATTGTATCTCTTTGAAAAAATTACTGTTATCATAACAATTATTAGGGACCTAAGAATTTCATCTCATTTCCTGCAACTTAAAACCAAGGGAAAAGGATTTTTTTTTAAGCGCAAGGAGGTGTGCTAATCCCCACACGGACATGAGGGCACACACCCTTCCACTTTAATGAAACATGATCTCCTCTCTAGTTAATAAGGAATGCCACAGAGAAAAGAGGCGCTCATAGAAATGGGATCCTCACACAAACCTCCATGCTCATTACATGTTTATAAAATCCTCACCCTGAAGGGAACAGGAAAAACCTAAACCCACACAAATAGACTATTTCAATTTAATTTTATTATGAAAACAACAGGAAGTGGCAGCAGGGTACTTGATAAGCTCAATTAGCAGGAGGATGAAATGAAGTGATGACATGCCATGACGACCTCAGGGGTTAAAGATGCAATCTTCCATCTGGCGAAACCGAGATTTCCACCACAAACACTGCCGCCACCTGCTGATTGGTAGTAGGCCTTATGAGAGCAGACCATCCGTTTCTCCTTACAACACACAGAGCCTCGAGTTTTGTCTTAGTTCACTCTGCATGTAATTGCTTCCCCATGAACAGAGGCCAAAAATAAATTCTATATAGTGGCTCACTCAGAACAGGCACTAAAGGTAAACTAAGGCACTCACTGACCAATCACAGTGGTGGGACAACTATCATGATTGTTTTTCTTCTAAGTCAAGAACGATACTGCGGGGGGTGCCTGGGTGGCTCAGTCGTTAAGTGTCTGCCTTCGGCTCAGGTCATGATCCCAGAGTCCTGGGATGGAGCCCCACATCGGGCTCCCTGCTCCACGGGAGGCCTGCTTCTCCCTCTCCCACCCACCCTGCTTGTGTTCCCTCTCTAGCTGTCTCTCTCTCTCTCAAATAAATAAATAAAATCTTAAAAAAAAAAAAAAAAAGAATGATACTGGGCCATCATTTTCCAGAGCACCTAAGAAGCCCTCCCATCAAGAGCTCTATTTGTGTGCTCTCAATTAATCGTCTTCTGCTACTGAAATGGATAATTTGGGTATAGCTGTTGAACCTCTTCACAAAATGAAAGTTCACTGCCTTTTTAAACTTCATAGGGTTACCCGAGGGAGGCAATGGTAAACACTTTGGGCAAATCTTATATATACCACGTTGGTGAGTGTTTGGTCCCTTAGATGCATGTGTTAGTTACCAAGAATCATGTTATGAAGCTTTGAAGGTTGTCTTTTTTATACTCTGAAGAATGGATTCTGTAAGAAGTGGTTAGCCAATGGGATGATAGCTGATTAGGTCTGTGCCCCATGATGTTTACACAGGTGTCCAACATGGCACACACACACACTCACTCACTTACACCCCCCAATGTAAGTAATCTGCAGACACAAGTTTGGATACTCAAGGATGGAACTTTGAGATTTTATATCGGACAGTCAATAACATAGCAATGAATACTCACAACTGTCTGTCTGCACGCCTATTTGCTAGACTAGAACCATGCTTCCCAGCAAAATGAACTTTTCACCATCTGCACCTCCTCCCGAAGCAAATTTGCCAAGCTCCCCATGTTGATCTTCTTTAAAGCGTTTGATAGCTAGATGCGGTTTCTTTTTCATTACAACTTACCTCCCAGGCTATTTCATTTGCTTCCTCCTAGGTCAGGAGGCATTCCAGAAATGGGAGCATGTAAAATTCATAAGTAACTCAAAACTTACTTGGCTTTCTGAATCCACACACAGTAGTCTGAGATGTAGAGATCATTCAGAATATAAGCGGGGTCATTTTCCTGAAAAATTTTGTGAACATCCAGTAGACACTTTAAAACTGCACTTTTACCTAAAGAAAATTTTTTTAAAAATCAAATCATTCTTAAGAAAAACACATCTGTTTATCTTAAACTGAGAAATTCAGATACTGCGAGGTAATATATTTATAGCAGTTCAGAACCTTAACCATGTTTTTAGAATATTTTTAACATTCCTTTATTGCATGAAGTCTTATCAGTACTATAAAGCCCAAAGCTCTTTATTTCATTAAGAATTATGAGTAAACCTTATGCTCTATTTCTATATCTGATTAATTGCGGTTACTATAAAAACACTATGAAACACAACCAAGTACATTAAGCAAAAAAGAGGAAAGTTTTCCTCACTAAATGAATATTTAAATGCCCCACAGAATTATAAAATATTCTTCTAGTTCAAGCTTTCAAAACACCATGAAAAAATTATATTGTTTTTTAAACTTTTTTATTCTTTATGCCAACATTTTTTGTTAAGGAATTATCTGGTACTAACTTAAGTTCTTGCACCTTAAAGAACTGAAGAAAACACAGAATGAAAACTAAAATATCACAGCACTCATTCAAAAATAAGCTGACAAAATCACTTGGAAAAAAGCCATCAAGTACTAAAGTCTTGTTCAATCTAATTACTTCCGCCTGGTTGTTAAATGAACCTAATTTTAATCCCAACGAAAGCCTACAAAAGGAACCTTTGACAACTCAACAACAATTCCCTAGGTGTCCCGAACTTTATGACATTCCCTGAAATGTATTGACTAGAAGGCAAATTACTAAATCTATAGTAGCACCACTTCCTTTGATCAGTAAAACACAGCATTTTCAGGTTAACAGTTTCATTCTTATCTTCCCAGTCCCAAAACATAAAAATACTGTATATCAATTCCTGAAGATATTGGATGTGCTTTTATCGACATTTCCCTCTTGACTTTTAGACAGGATAAAAGAATCATGAGCTAGCTAATGACATCTCAAGGTGCCAAAATTGTTGCCACTAAAATTTTAACACAATTAACACTAGAAAATATATTTCAAAAGAGCAGGGACTTCTGTGTTAGTGATTTTTTTTTTTTTAAGATTTTATTTTTACAGAAGATTTATCTGAGAGAGAGAGCACAGAGGAAGAATGAGAGGGAGAAGCAGACTCCCCGCCGAGCAGACAGCCTGACACTGGACTTGATCCCAGGAGCCTGGGATCATGACCTGAGCCAAAGGCAGACGCTTAACTGACTGAGCCTTGCAGGTGCCCCATGTTTTATTTAGTGATTAATCCCCACTACCTAGAACAGAACCTTGTAGCATCAGATTTTCAATTTCAATATTTTAAGAATGAATGAATGACACAGTGATCGCGTGCCTTACACCCTCGCAATTCCTCTCATCCCAGGGCCTCATACTGCAGCCCTGAGGATTCTTCCTGGAAACGCCCCTCGCAGCTGCCCTTTCCCCACCACTCCTGGTGCAACTATTCTCACCTGTACTCTCATCGTCTCCCACCTGGATTATAAAATCTTCCTCCTCCCTCGCATTGCAGACTCTCTCCTAGTCCTCTGACACACTTCTCCATGTACTTCTTTCCTCATCCCCGCCCCTGCACATGCTTTCAAGGTCCTCTGCTCAAATGGCTCCCACACCCGGACTGCCTTTTTTCTCCACTCCACTTAATGGCATCTTAGCCTGCCTTCACGGCCTAGCCTAAGACTTCACCCTTCAGGAAGCCTGAGCTCACCTTCTAGTCTTCGGAGCTCTTTACTGAACGCTGCAAAGGAACGTGGAAAGGAAACAGTTGATCGTCCCCAGAACCTTCCCTGCTCATTTCACAGAAGCAGAACCTGAGGTTCAAGATCGTAAGATACTCACAGGATCCAAATTCTGAACCGACTGGCTTGTGGCTAGCCACTGTACTACATTACCCACACGGTCTTGGCCCATTCTGTCGCCAACACATTTTATTATTCTGGAGTTAGAAATTAAGTTCAAAGCAGGGGCCAAGCCTTTTTCAAAAGTTTTAACTATGTGGCTTCCTCACATGCAGATGGGAAGAATGCCAATAAAAACCCCATTGCTCAATTGGTTAAGAGAAACAAATACTTAGAAGGCCTAAAACTACATTTGGTTAAGTCAAGACCAGAACTGTGACTATCAGAGTGGCCCGGGTTAACTATATCAAATGACTAGTGTGGACCCCCCACGGCAAGCCTATTTTCATTACAAAGTATGTAATGTTGAAGGCAGAGTTTGATGACAGGAGGCAGGAAATACAATCAAAACTCACAGAAGTGATGAAACCAAGTTAGCCATGTTATCTCAAGAGAAAAAAATCAACAGAGAACTAACTAATGTGTACGAATTTCTTGAACAGTTTTAATCGCCACAGAGAAGAAAATGTCAGGGCAAGCATATGCCAATTTTTTACTTTCTCTCTCTCCCTCTCTCTTTTTTGGAGGGGAAGGGTCCAGGGAGAAGGAGTTTACTTTTATAACTACCAACTTAAAGTTTTAAAAGTTAACCATAGGTCTTTACAAAACAAACAACAACAACAAAAAAAACAAGCAAAAGGAAAAAAACACAAACAAAAAACTATTTACTTGAAACTTACACAAGCCCCTCTATAGTGTGACACCCCAGAATCCTGCCCCACGAGATCCCATACCTTACTAATATAAGCCGGTTAATAGAAAATGCAGGATTTGGAGCAAGACCTCACAGCAAATAAGTGAGTGAAGAAAAAGGGGCAATATGCTGGCTTGAAGGATGGTGGGAAAAGGAGACTTCAAATGGGGTGGGTTCAGGGAACGACAGGAAAAGATCATTTGGTTGGAGCAGGTGGTTCAAGCAGGGAAATGGGGAGGAGTAAGCAGGTGAGTTGGGAGGGAGTCAGAGTGTGTCACGGGCTCGGGAGACAGGTGTAAGAAGGATGAGGTATGAAGGCCTAAAAGCAGCTGTGGACAGCAGGGATAAGAGGCCCAACTCCAGGGATATTTATTAAGAAGGGTATGGAAGTAAGGTCACATGTTTAATGGAAATCCAAGGCAATCATTACCCTAATGAAATTATATAGCTTCATTTAGCAGACATGCCTCAAGTAAGGTTGTCCCCTTGCTAAGGACCACAGGCAAATTCACATCTTCACTACCACCAAAGAATAATAAGATAAGAAATGTCAAAAATAATTTTTTTTAATTTAAAGAAAAGTTACATTGTATTTGTACATTTTGACTATTTTTTTTAAAAAAGACAAATATACATAGGAAAAAAACCTTAAGTGTATTTACACCCAAAGGGTATCAACGTGTCTCTCTGCATGCACTGAAAAAGTATCTAAGTGCCTGACATGTGTCCAGCACTGTTTTACATGCAGGACTACAGTGGCTTACTCTTCTTTGTACTTGCCCCTCTTTTCAAGCTTTCCCCACAATAAACATTTATTTGTTTAACAAAAAGTTAGACACACTCAGCTACACAGCCAACCTCTGAAATATCGGCAAAGAATGCTAAAAAATTTTAATTCATATTTAAATTTTCTGTAAATTGTAATTTTGAACTGAGAAGCAATATTTAGATCAGGTAATTTTAGAAAATCACATGCAAGGCAGTTTTGAAAGGGAAAGTTGCGCACTCTTGGAAAGCTGTGTTTTCACCGTATGTCTCATTCAAACTATTTTCACAGTATGCTCTGTGACAAAAAAGGTAAAAGATAACTCAGCCACTGGCAGTTGACAATCTAGAACAATGTAAGTACATTTAAATCACCCTTTCCCCAGCAATGTGGACTGTTACCCCAAGGTCATACTTGGGTCTCTTTTGTTCCCACTACATCACCATAGACGATTATAGCCGCACAGCGAAGAGACTTGTGCAGCACGCAGGTTTTTTTTACTCCCTTTGTACTGACTGCTCTCTCTCAGGTTGTTAACCACTTCTCTAACAGCTATCAGCAAAGAAAAAAAAAAAACTGGCCTTGCTCCAAGCTGTCACGCGGCCAGTGGCCAGAAGCCTTCAGGGACTCAAAGCACCTGGCTCCTGGGGGGCTTTATCCAGTTGTGGGCTCGGCACATAGCAGATAGGTATAAACTGCTCAGGCGTAAATCTGAGGACATTTTTCCTGCTCAAAGGCACTGGAGGAAAGTAACCGTTTTCAGCCAGTTCGTCGCCTGGTCCAAAGCAGGAAAAGACAAGGAGCCTTGCACAGTAACCACAGTAACTGTTTTCACTACAGCAATGCACCAACAGACCTCTCCAAGATGTTAAGTCTCCAGAGTTAGGGATTCTCCAGATTGACACGCTCTTTACTTAAGCCAACCGTAACCATGGAAGAAAGGCTTCTGGGACCCAGATCTCTTGTTCACTCATGAAGGCAGTTTAAAATTAGTATCCTGGTATTATAAATGACAAGTGCCATGAATGTTTTACCTCAGGGAAAATGACTGTACAGTAACAACACAGAGAAACATAATGACAACATAAAGAAAAATATGCATGCCAGTAACAAGCAGGTGGGCAGTAAACAGTACTTAACACATTCTCTGGCTACCCCCTTCACCAGCTTTTCTTTAAAAAGAAGGCAAACTGGGGCACCCGAGTGGCTCACTTGGTTAACCATCTGACTTTTGATCTCAGCTCAGGTCTTGATCTCAGGGTTGTGAGTTCAAGCCCCACATTTGGTGCCACGCTGGGCGTGGAGCCCACTTAAAAAAAGAGAGAGAGAAGGTAAACTAAGAGCAGTGTTTTCCTGTTCTGTACAGATGTGGCATTTCAGGCTAACAGATCTCAAAACAGAGACAAGACTGAGCTATTTTAAATCAGAATCCACTGGCTATTTGAAATTTTCCTGTAGCAGATCAGGTTTGGCAATAATGTCTGACAGACCCGCTCATGGTTGGAAGCACTTAAGAAATGGCTCCCATCACTAAGAGATGATCAGAATAGTGGATTTTTTTTTTTTTTTTTGGGCTGGCTTTTAGCCAGCGAAAGAAAAATAATATAAATTGCTAACTCTACATAATAAAAGCTGAATTTCTTTTCAACTCCTGATACATTATAGCTGCTATGTGGCTGTGGTTTTCTGGGTATCTAGTTCTACCCTTTAAAGTTTTGAGCTATGTAAGACAAGGAGCCAAAAAGAGTAAAGGAAAAAAAAGTGGTTATTTAGAATACCCGAAGGAAAGCACTGCTTGGTCTTTATTCATAAAAATCAACTAAAAATAAAAGCCAACACTGCTATCGTTTTAAGATGATAAGATATCATTAGATTCCTGGGATTTTGATGAGACCACATTATCAGAAGGGATAACTTAGGAATTACTTCCAACATTAATTTTCATAGATTATTAACCATAAAAACACATGATAGGGTAATTGTGTCAAATTAACCAAAATTAAGAGAATCAAAGTGTGGTAATTTGCTTCAATGCCAGGCCCTGTTAGGAAGTAGCTTAAAGTCAAGTTCCTAACAATTAACACAAACATACATTAAATTCAGTTTTATGAATGCTTCTCAAACCATTTCACTGTTTTATCCTAAAATTCCTCATATGGTTATTTAGGCTCTTACATTTCAGAGTTGTAATAAGAAACACACAGGAAGCAATAAGAGTTACTATGTTGAGCACAAATTTATGATCCCGTATCGATTTTTAAAACATTTTTAGTTATTAGAAATACATATATTATTATTATAGCCACAAACAAAAGTAACACAAAGCAAACATATACTTTGTAGATGTTCCCTTTGCCTGGAATGCATAACTCCCAAGTCCAAACCTAATTCACCATCAAGTCTCAAATCAGGCAGTACTGCTCCTAGAAATGGGGTCCCAACTCTCCCTCCAGCTGATCTGGGCTCTTTCATAATGCCTGGCACACCCGTCTAATATGGGAGTTAGGAGCTACCCACTTGCTCTGCACCGAGTACTTTACACACATTAAATCATTTAACCCCACCAATTAGGTACTTCCTTGCTCATTTCATAAATGAGAAAGGAGACTCAAGGATATGGAGTTGGCTAAGATTACAGTTATGAAGCAACAGTCAGGGCTTGAAAGTAAGTCCATCTGCCTCCCAGCCACTACGCAATAAATACTGTGTCAATATTTATCACCTGGACAGGAAAAGAACACGGCGGCTCTTCACCTTTCTTCCCTCATCTAGAACAATGTCTAACAAACTGTAGGATCCTGTTCAATAAGGCTGGTTGTTAATATAGTCTGGAGTACATAAAGCCTAAGTTCAGAAACCCTTGGTCAAACTGCTCAGTTAGTGTCTAGTTATAATACCTGTGTGATCTATAGATTAACTTTGTGCCATGACAAATGTGGAATATCCAATTTGTTCGTGCCTTCCCTTATTATGTCTATTCCCTGACATGAAAGAATGTAACTATGCCAACTTTCTTACATCACTACACCATCAAAAGTTCAAATAATGGATTTAACCCAAGGCTGCCTTTTGCCTTTTCTGCTCTAACAATTCCTGCAAGGTTTGCTGATTTAGAAGGACAGCCTTGACATTAACTCCATTTGCCTTAAAGTCACCTGTCAAAGTGGTAGTTGTTTCAGTCTAGAAGCATCCAAATTCAAAACAGAACATAAAAAAAAAAAAAAAAACCCACCTATATTGTAAGCACAAAGGTAGAAGGTTAAGAAGCTGAAGATTCAAGGAAAAAGGCTCTGGAAACAATTGCAATCTAAACCTAGATTAAAAAAAAGAAAAAAACAAGGGGCACCTGGGTGACTCAGTCGGTTAAGCACCCAACTCTTGATCTCAGGTCAGGTCTTGATCTGAAGGTTGTAAATTCAAGCCCCGAATTGAAATAATAAATAAATAAATAAATAAATAAATAAATAAATAAATAAATAAATAAATAAATAAATAAATAAATAAATATTTAAAACAGTGTTTATAATTTTGTAATTCTGCAGGTAAAATTTTACTTTAACTGTTCCTCCTTATGAATACAGAATGTATCTCAATACCTGGTAGCTCAACTTCAAATCAATTCATCTTGATGTTGTTTTAATTAAAACTATGAGACTGTTTTTCAATAGATATTACTTAATATTCACAGTTCTGACTCTTTCTTTGGATTTAGTTTAGGTTCAAACTGGGAAAACTAAAATTGTACATGAAGTCACATAGAAGAAATATATAGGAAGAAAGACAACTGGATCCCTCAAATGGCTCATAAAAGGAAAAAACCAACCCAGTCCTACCAGCCTCATGAGCCCCTTCTGGCGCTTTGATACACTGATGAGTATGTCAAGGGAGAAAGAACTAGCCCTTTTAAAACCCTCCCTGTATTACAGTGAGTGTATGTTCACTGCTAAATGATGTGCACATTGATAAAACAGAGTTACGCTTCTTTACATTTTAATCAATGTACAGTAAATATAATTTAGTAAAAATGACTAGGCATCCGTATCTACACGGAAGTTTATTGCGCATTAAAACGTTACATGAGAATTCTGATTATGAAATTAAGATTTTAGAATTCTGGTCCCAAATTAGAAAAGGCTAAAGAAAGATCATTAAAAAGCCACATATACATAATTTTTGTGCAGTTCTAGCTAATGTCTCTGCAATGTAAAAATGTTAACAATTATAACTGTTCTGTGTGGAACAGTTACGCAGCCCATGGTCGGTCACGGGGGTCGATCATGGGGGTTGTGGGTCCCCTTGCTCCTGGTGTTTGATCCTTAATCTGAATCTGTTTCCACATGTCAACAGAGGGCGGACTTCTTAAGAACTGCTATGGGAAGGAAATGAGACAATGACCATGCATACACATTACAGATGACAAGGGAAGAAGGACAACAGGTCAGATGGGATTGAGGGCCCCACCTGCTTCTCCCTCGCTACCTGAGAAGCATCTGCCCCCATATTCCTTCCTCTTCCACGCCACCGCAGGCACTCCAGTTCAGACCCTATTACCTGCGCCTAAACTACCTGGCTTCAGGTAAGAATTGTGGTCTCCTCTCTTGTCTGTACACTAATCTCACCCCCTTCGATGACTGGATCCTCGGTGTTACTGCTGGATGAATCCGACTTTGTGAGCCTGTCACAGACCAACACCACACTCTGCAGTGTACCTCAGTGAGTAAGGCCCAGTCTCTTCAGCAAGGCACTGCAGACTACCCACAATCCTGGCCCAACACACCATTCACACCTCTTCCCCACAATTCCCCTTCACAACCCAAGCCTCCAGACAAACTAGAGTACTGGCCATTTCTTGGACCTAACTCTTATTTTCCTCTACCTGCTTTTCCTTACCTTCTACTTTCTCAGGGAATACCTTCCTTCATTTCTTTTGTAAATTCCACACATTCTTTAAGTAATAACTACCACTAAGCCTCCCTCATTAGACCTATGCTGTTTGCTTCTTCCTTATCAAGCCCTCACTTCTACTCAAAAGCCCCCTACTGGGGTCACAGGTCCTGGAATCCTGTGACTCATCCCCTCCATCCTGACCAGGTTCTGGCTGACAAAGCAACACAAAGTAAGTGGAAAGAAAAGTAAGGGTTCTACCTTTTGTTTTTTGCTTTTTAAGGTTTCTGGGCATAGTTACTTAGGTATTGCAAGCTATGTCCTACCTCCTTCTGCAATCTACTCCTGAAGCACACAAGGCTGAGATCAACCTGAAACTGGGACTGAAAGAGCAGGGGTTTGGTGCAAGCCCTCAATGCAGCTGGAAACTGGCAGGGGCAAGAGGGTGTGAGAAAAACAGGTCAGCACTAGGAATGCTTGGAGTCGGAATGAAAAACCTAGGGCCCACCCAGGTGGACCTGGGCATTCAGCCATGCAATGGCTCTGAGCATATTATTTAGAACTCTACTTCATCATTAATACTTTCACTTTTGAAAATTTTTATCTTAAAGATCATTGCTTTCTAATTCTTTTTAAGTCCCCCAAACTGGCAATGTTGCAGATCCACATGGCAACAACAGGCTACAAATGGGGCATGGCCTCATTACTCCCGACTGTCTTAAACCCTGCCATGTCACTCACTCACCCGTCTGGACAAGCAGGCATCTCAATTCACTTCCCCTAATGTTGTGAGGGACCTACTCTTATGGGAACTAGCTAGATCAGCTACATCTCACCCTATGGGCAGGAGACAAAAAGCTGAAATGATCCCCTTCAACACTAACCAGTATTTGGGACGGAAGGCAGCCAAAGACCTCTGCTCACTCGTGAAAGTCTCCCTTTCAACCTTCTAGATACGTATATCTGGAGCAAGGGTAGGATCATTTTTTCTGTAAAGACCCAGAGAGTAAATATTTAGGCTCTGCAGGCCACATAATGTTTCAACTGCTCAACTCTGCCATCATATCCCAAAAGTAGCCATAAACAATATGTAAGTGAACTAGCATGAATGTATTCCAATAAAGCTTTATTTATGGGCATTAAAATTTGAATTTCATATAATTTACATTATGTCATCAAACACTATTTTGATTTTTCTGTTCAACATTTAAAGATATAAAAAGCATTTTTGGCTCATAGGTCATACAAGATGCATTTGGATTTGGCCTTTGAGTCCAGTTATTTTCCTAAGGGACTTTCTCCTTTGTATCTGGTAAATACTCGTATTTTGTATCTTTCCTTTGTCTTACCATTACTGTTACATAATAAACTCCTTAAAAGCTAAGGCCAACTCATATATATATTCCTATAACTCTTTGCTGATTCTGTTATGATGCCTTGCACAGAGAAGGAATTTGATTTATATATGTTGTATAAATGTCTCCATTTTTCAGTATTAATTCCTATTTAAAGGAACTCGAAATTGCAAGAATATAATTCTTCCATGTTTTCCAGTAACATGTGGAGTACTATTTAATGAACTTCACCTAGGCCTGTTGCTATTACTCTGCAACAGGAAAGTGATTCATTAGGGTCAAATAAAATTTTTCCTCTTTGTTCTTCCAAATTTGTCTTAAATATATACAATTTTCTGCCTTTATCCTCTTAAAAAAAAGTAAACTTAAAGTTACTTCCTTAAAAATTCAGATCAATAAAAATCTCAAAACTGACTTTAGATTTATTAAACGAGGCATGAACTATAGAAAAAATTTTTAAGCCATAATATCAAACCACATAACTAACCTGGTTTTCCACATTGCTCAGCTCCAAAACTGCAGAAATGAACAAAACTTATCTTAAATAGTATTGGAAATATAATGCAGATTTCAATTATTTATTGATTTCAATACAGTATTCAATAGTATTGAATAGTATTCAAATAGTATTGGATATATAATGCAGATTTCAATAATTATTTAAGAGATCAGCTGATTTTGAGCTATACCCACCAGTAAGCATTACTATGTAACTCAAATTTCCAAAGCACACTAACACAATATTTCAAGTGATTTTTTTGGTAGCAGAATAACCATAAGCTCTTAATCATCTGTGGCAATTAAAAGGCAATTTATTATTTGTAAACCATACAGGAAATGCTGCCCCCTGCAGAGCATTTTAAAAGAACAAAGAATGTTTTATATAAATGTAACCCAGAAATTATCATGAGAGCAACTTTTTAAAATTCTAGTGATCCACAGGATTATTAGAGGAAAAAGGAATTCTATGGAGATGACTGGAATTTTATTTTCCTCGCCTTAATGTTTATGCTCATATACAATATCCTTCTATACAGCAGTGTATGTATAAACCTACAAAGGCTCCAATGACGAATAATATAGATAAATAGGAAGAATGTGCCAATTTAAGAGACTGTAAGACACAGATTTTGGCTCTGAGGAAGAGAAGGGAGTAGAAGGAATTTGCTTCGCCACATGGCAGGACAATCCAGGGAGAGAGGCCAAGGACCGGCTCAGTCGTGACCACACAGCAGAGCCCTGTCCTCCTCTTACTCATTTCAGCTGCAGCGCACATGCTCTGGGGCTCAGAAGCCCTCCTTTCCTGGATTAGTCAGTATGTAAGTGATTAGCAGAAACAGGCACAAATGGCACTTCAATATTTTATTTGAATTCCATGCTATTTAAATTTCCTGAAAGCACTAGGATTGCTCCATTCTTAGAAACATTTTAATTGCAATGGGGAATTGACGAGGAAATAAAAGCTCAAGAACAATTCAGGAGAGGAAGAGAACAGAGAGTAAGAATTTCCTCCTGGATAGGGAGCAGGGAATTAAGCGATAATAATAAAGAAGGAGAGAAACCAATTCTGGTGAACCAGTTAACTCACACAGGAAAGGGAACTAGATATAGAGGCTGTAGGGCAAGTCTCAGGATCAGTCTATCAACTCGAAATTGTCACTAATGAAACCACACTAGTCTAGGAACTTCTTCACACTGTTCACTCATAGAATTTAGAATACTTCCCCCCACCCTTCTGTGCCTAAATACCACTCATCCTTCAAGTCCCAATTCAAATCTCATGCCTTAAATGAAGCTTTCTTTGATTCCTACTGAAACAGCACCTCTCCTTTTTTGAACTATTTTGTCCACATTTCATGTACTGTACTTACCACCGTCTACTGTGTTTTGTTTTTGACGGACATCTTAGCTCCCCTAGGAGCACATACACTCCCCAAATACGGTACACAAGCCTAATGGATCTTTCCGCAGCTCTCTGTATTTACAGGATACTCTGCACATAATAAATCGCGTTTTAGTGGGTACTGACAAAATACCGTTGAATGGATAAATACATGAACTCATCAACCAATTAACAAGTACTTTAGAATGACAGGAAACTAGAATAGGAACTGAGAATCAAAAGTCAAATAAGGTAGAGGCTCCCCTCTGTAGAAGGTTACATGTTTTAAATGACAACTTAAAGGCTAGTCCATTACCCTGACTTTATATTTTCATCCAATATATTTCTCCTCTGAACTTATTACAAATGCAGTTTTTAAAAAACCTAACAGTTGTATAATTCCACGCCCTGCACGAGAAATTTAAGCTCCCTGAGTGTGTGAGTCGCACTTCCCCTGTTCACAAGTATACCTCCAGACCCAGCTCAGCACCTTGACACAGTAACTGCTCAACATTAGTGAATAACTTGCAAAATAATTTTACATAATGTATTTAAGGAGTAAAAATTAGAAGGTCTAACAGTTCTTTAAAATGTCCGTAACAGGGAACTCATAAAAATTAAACACAGATGGGGCACCTGGGTGGCTCAGTCGGTTGAGCATCTGTCTCTTGATTTCAGCTCAGGTTAGGATCTCAGAATGTGAGACTGAACCTTGGATTGGACTCTGCGCTGGGCATGGAGCCTGCTTGCGATTCTCTCCCCCACCACCCCCCCTCAACCCTCTCTGGTGCAGGAGATCACACACTCTCTCTCTCTCAAAAATAAATAAATAAATAAACAAACAAACAGATAAATATCAACACTGGAAAATCCTAGTGATTTCATCTTTTGGTTTTCAAATTGGGGGTAATTTCTACAAGTCAATACAAAGAACTTGCTAAACTGACTTTGGGCTAAACAGAATTCAAATGCTAAAAACCAATTCATCTCCAAGGTTGCAAGAGAACTCAGAATTCACATAATACACCTGCCATACCCCTATTTCTTGGACATTCTTCTTAAAGAAAAAGAGCAGCCCCAAGCCTTGTGCTATGGCTCTTCTTGTCTTCCACACTGATTGTGCTATTATATCTATCTATAGAAGAGCCAAGGCAGTCCTTTCTGAAAAATTGATTATTAAGCCCAATAATGACTAATATGTTAGGACTATTAATTATATGAAGCAAAACCAGCTTTTAGTTGGTAACAAGAACTAATCTCGTGAAGGCTATTCCTTGGGTTACAGCCTGCCATGTAACTACTAGTCATCAGACCTCAAACGTTTGTACAAAGGTAGGTTTCTGGGGCGCCTGGGTGGCTCAGTTGGTTAAGCGACTGCCTTCGGCTCAGGTCGTGATCCTGGAGTCCCGGGATCGAGTCCCGCATCGGGCTCCC